TCACAGCCACACGGCACCACCTCCTTAGACAGCGCTGAACTCTGTTAACTCTGAAACTAGGTCTGCTGTCGTGGGACAGCTCTACACTGTCCAGGTTTCAAGAGGCTGACATCTCTTTTGGTAACGTGTTCAGTGCCACTGAGAACTGTTCCACAAAATTCTCTACTCCATGAAAAGACCTAAGGATCGAGTTTCCAGGACTGGGTATCCAAGAATTCTTTAAAAGTAATACAATGCCTGGTACAAATGATGGTATGACCACAGTAAAAGAACAGTACAGGATGTAGTACGATGATGTGTCCAGGATAATAATTCTACACAGTGTGTCATCTCTGCTTGAAACAGCGGCTTTTGCTCCCCCCTTGAAGAAATCTCACCTTGGACCCAGCCTACTCTCTAGATACAGACCTATTTCCAACCTCCCCTTCATCTCAAAGGTTCTTCAGAAAGTAGGAGCCAATCAGCGACAGTTTCACATGAGCTCCCACCAACTCTTCGGAAAATTCCAGTCAGGCTTCTGACCCTCGCACAGCACAGGCACCACTCTTGTGAAAGTTTCCAGCGATCAACGAATGGCTGCTGACTCTGGGTCTCCGCCCATTCCTGTTCTACTTGATCTCGCAGCAGTCTTCCCCGTCATGGACTACAATATTCTTCTGCAGAGACTGAGGGTCTATGTTGGAGTGAAGGCATAGCTCTGAAATGGTTTTCCTCCTATCTTTCCAACCTGCAGCAGTTTGCTTCTATTGGAGAAACTAGATCAAAGATTTCTTGAGTAACTCGCTGTGTCCCCCAGGGGTCAGTACTGATGCCTGTGTTGTCCCACATTCACTTGCTCTCCCTGGGTCAGATCAGGCAGTATCTGGACATTAACCACCACAGCTATGCAGATGACACACAGCTGTTTATCAATACCAAACGTGGCGTATCCACTGCCCTGGAAAACGTAACAGCTGTCTGGAGGAGATCAGAATTTGATACAGAATATGTATGAGCCACAATCTTCTCATGCTGAATAGAACCAAGACAGAGGCCGTGCTGACTGGAGCACATAATCAGATTGCCACCACTAGTAACTGCAGTCCCATCATTGATGGAAATGTTATTCCCCATCCTCAGTGGTCAGAAATGTGGATGTGAAGTCTGATGCTTTTCTCAGTTTTTTAGATTATATATAAATTGTTTGTGCAGTAAGTCTTCATCAGAAAAACATCTCCCAGCTAAGGTGTCCTCTTAAAGTTAATTCATGCCTTCATTAAATCTCACATGGACTATTGTAACCCTCTCCCTTGTGGGCTGCCCTCAAGCTCATGAGCTAAATGTTCTCTTAACTAGCTTCTCCATAACAGCACTGCCAGGGTTCACATCAGAGCAAGCTAGCCAGACCAGATCACCATGAACTTAGGAATTAGTATAACATCAATTTGAAATCAATATGAAATGAATTCATTCTTAAACAATATAAAATTCCTCTTCAACCCTTATACTGGCTCACCATCAACCCGAGCACTGCTCCTGGGGTTTAAGATCCCACCAACCTCACTGACCTTCTTTTTCAAACTTCAGTCCAGTCTTCAGGATCAGGTCAGTTTAAAGGACTTCAGGTCTCCAGGTCTCTGAGACTATGTACTGTGGGTGACTGTACTTCTCCATCTCTGCCTCTCGCTTGTGGAATAGGCTTCCTATTATTATTATTATTATTATTATTATTATTATTATTATTATTATTATTATTATTATTATTATTATTATTATTACAGTGAAAGGGAAATGTAATAAGTTTAAGTGATGACAGTATTCCTCAGATGAGGAAGGACAGAATTCCATTTTATAGACTATGAGCATAGTCTATATTAATTACTTTTTATGTAATAAGTCAGACTTATTAAATAATTTTTTTAAGACTTAGACTTATTAAGAAATAAACACAGCTCTATTCTACAAATCTTACTGAAGAAAACTAGATCTTGTTCAGACGCCATTGAGACACCTCTTCCGTCAGTCCATTCAGACAGGAGCGCACTCAGGGACTGCAGAATTGCTAAGGAAGTGCCCGTTCATGAGAAGACTGAACTAAGTCATTATAGAGCAATTAGTCTCACTTCCATTACATACAAAGTAATTAAAACATGTGTTGGAAATAAACTAGATGGAATATGTTGTCATGGACACACAGAGCTTGCAATATGAGGTATTTAGATTTTCTGAAGGCTTTTTTAAAAAGTTCCTCGTGAAAGATTAATTATCAGGTTACAAGTCCTGGACATTCAGGAACATCTGTGTGTTTGAACTCAGAATTGTTCAACAGAGCACAGATAACAGAGAGTAAAACAGAAAGGACAGATAACAGGTGGATGCTCGGATTACATAAATTGGCTCTTCCTCGTTCATGTAAAAAATCATTCTTGTATAGTTAGTAAAATAGTCAGGTTTGCAGACGATACCAAAATAGGAGAATTATTGAGCCACAGAAGCAGCAGATGAAATTCAAAAAGATTTAGCAAGAACTGATCAGTTATTAATAGAAAATGGGAAATGCTAAGCTAGAAGAGGCTGCTTATAACGAATACATATTTTATGTCTTCATATCATTGACATCTTCTAGAAAGTGGGTTCCCAATCCTGCACCTGGGACCCCATACCTGCTGCTGCTCATCGTTTTCATCGGGCTCTTTCTTTCAGTGAATCCTGAACTGCACCAACAGGTTGCTGGCTAGGAGAAGTCTTTAT